AATCACAGTCGGGTGTTTAACGCGTCCCGTGACAGTAAGTACTACACTATCAAATTTTTCAATGTCAGTACTCGTGTTACTAGCGCGACCACCATCTTTTTTCTTATAGGCCAAAGATAATATGCTCATAACCTCCTGGATCAGTAATGTTTTGTTCGTACGGAAAAATACACAAAGCCAATGCAAGTTAGGCTACGAGCACCTTGTGTACGTGATGGGACTTAAACAGGTATAGATCTTATGTGGCCACTTTTTACACTCATCGCACTGCATTCCTTCCTCCACGAGATATAAACAATTTGGCTGTCTACACTTAATAACAATAATATATATTTCTGCATGTGCAGGTACACTCCATTTTTACAGGCATGATCTACAAATTACAACATTTGTTGGCTCACAAAATGCTTCCTAATTTATTAAGTTTATAGTTGCTATAAAGTATACTCGTACGGCGCTTGCTGTAAACGGTGACCTTGAGGAGACGCGTACGTCAAGTTTGTACTAGACGTCAGGAGTTTCATAGCTGTGCCCTCAGAGCAAATTTCAGAAGAAGAAAAAGAGAAACGGAAGAGCAGCAAGGCACTTGGATATGAACGCCAAAAGTTGCTGCCCAACAGTGACTTTTGCGGCTTAGCAGGCGAAGAGTGCGGTTCCTGATAAATGTAGGTTGCTGATAGCTGTGGGGGACCGTTTGAGGAACTGAATGATTTGTAGCACTTAAGAGCGTGTGCAGTAGGAAGTCTCAATGAGCATCCACATCAAGTTGAGGGTGAACATCCACCTGTTGTAGATAGTCCTGTGGAGCTGACACATTCAACCGTTTGAAATTCCAGCGCAAGTTGTTGGTGGGATACCTTAACTCAATTTTGCTGACGAAATTGAAAGCTATAACGGCGTGATCGCTTTTGCCCAGGGAAAGTCAGGATTGAAAGGTTATCAACTAGAAATTCTTCGTTTGTAAATACCAAGTCTAAGCGCGATAGTGTCTGACTGTTTTTCCAACGAGTTGCCGACTTCACATTTTCGTGTAATCCCAGATCCCTAATGAGGTTGAAGAACCAAGCTTCAGTTGAGTTTTTACCTCCAATATACGTATGTTCCGCAAAACTGACTCCTTCCAGGATACGACTGTCGTACTCGATGTCGGCGGTGGGCTTTCTATATATGACTCCGACTAGACACCTCGAAGTAGCAGACAATCTTACAGAGCACTATATGGATTCCTCAAGATTGTTAAACTCGAGATTCTGAGCTTGGTGTACCTCCAAGCAAGATCGTATGTACATGGCTACTCCACCCCCAATTCCCGATTTTCTGTCGTTGCAAACAAAGACATCCCAGGTACTGCTAACTCTTGGTCCAAGAACTGAGATGTCCAAGTTTCAGTTATTTCTATCAGATGAGCCTTATTAGTATTGCTAAGTTCACGTAGCTCATCCATCTTATTCGGTAGACTCGCGGCGTTCATGTATAAGCAGTTTATGCTTTCAATTTGAAACGCGTGAGCCTCTTCCTGTTTGTCTGTATGAGCCTTACGTGAATGGACAGGTAGCCTACCTATATAATGTTTGCCGAGTTGGTAGGCCCTGTCCTTTACACGTTTTTTTTTTATCATCGAGACAGTCCACAAGTGGAATGGTCAGCTCCAACTTGCTTTTGTGCTTTTAGTTCAGTAAGTGGACTAGATCCAGTCCTTCTTCGAAAATGCTATGGTATGTAATGCTTTTACTGATAGTCAGTTAATCAGCTGAAACGTAGGACCAGGCACATATCTGCATCGGTCCAAGTTGCCATACCTCATTAGCACAGGAAGATGAACAGCGAATTCATAGAAGTAGTTAATTCAGTGGTGGTAATATATAAAAGAAAGATTGCATATAAGGACATAGTACAGGAAGAAGGAATTAGTTCGTAGATAGAAAGATATGAAGTGATTTTAATCTCTTAGTTTAAGGGAAGACAGAGAGTGTAGACACCTGCGTTATTGTGATCGATTCCAAGCCGCCCCTACCTTTCTCCCAACCATCCCCAACACTAGTCACCATTGCGTGTCGTGCTAATCGGTGTTCAAGCATACGTAACATGTGACCCGACCACTTCAGTCGATGAAGATTCACAACCGCATCAAGTGATTTACCGTCATTCCCTATTATCCTGCGTCTAACCTCACTATTACTTACCCGATGATCCCAACAGGTGTGAGCAGTATTTCTAAGACATCTATGATCAAATACTAGCAACTTACGAGTATCTTCTACTCTTAATGGTCACGTTTCGCAGCCGTCAATTAGAACAGAACGAACTGCCGGATAGTATACTCGTCCCTTAATTGATAGACGGATATCTCGCCTTTGCTATAGGTCATGTAAGTTGGCGAAGACCAAACGAGCTTTTCGAATCCGTACAGAGATTTCATCAGACACCAACCCATTAGGACTGATCACACTTCCAAGATAAGTGAAGTTCTCGGTGTGCTCGACTACTTCACTCCCTACCCTTAGTTCAGGTGTTGACGCAGACCAGTCCTGAAGGAACAACCTGGATTATAAAGTTTCAGAGTTACTCTTAATACTACTCCTGTCATTAAATACTCACCAACTAAATTCTCGATGCGAAATTCTGAGACTCGTTTCGGATGAGTCGTTCAGTTAATCCCAGCGTAGAGCTTGGCTTTCAGTTCATTTTTTGAATATTTCTTAACTGTGTTACAATACTTTTATAACTGTCAATCGAAGTATATGATAGTTAAGCACTCGAGTCACCCTGCAAAGCGCTTATGTATGACTGCTTTCTGTATGATCAAAAAGGGGTGTTTAAGTATTCGCATTTTTCGTAATAACAGTTAGTACCGCTAGCAACTAAATTATTTCCTACATTCGACTCCCAATATCATTCTTTCTCAAAAGGTAATTTGGTAATAGCTTTAGAGTAAATTCCATGAACTTTCAAACTACTTTAACCACATATTGAACCGGAATATTTCCGTACTTCAGTTAAATTGTTCTTTGATATTCGATTGCAATACCGTTTAGGTTAGCTTGGAGTTGTGGCCGAGGCGATCTATCAGTTGGGTTTGAATATCAGTGCATTTAGATAGCTATTGATAACTGATGTAACGTGTCTGTCATTGAGGGATCGTTCATACTCAACGTATGGAAAAATCATTATTAACTGTAAAAATAGGTAGCCATCTGTGAAATTATGATAATTAGGAGTATTTGAATTATAGTACAAACTAGGAATCTCAGAAATAACGCAATTGGATCAAGAAGTACTAGATAAGCACGAACGAATGTAATGTATTCGGAATTCGAAATCAAACATTCAACAAGTACAAAGGAATCAATGTTTCATACAAACACCACATAAATGTTGAGGATCGATCTCCTTGTAGCTAACCCGATGAAGTGACGCCGTCTGTAAATGCTCTTTGATGTTGTTTATGCGAGATAAGTGAATTATAATGTTTAGGCAGTTCATACGGGGAACGTTTAATTAATGTAACGCAAACCTTTTGAATATCATTGTGTTTGGTAAAATCCGTTTTACTAAGATCTTGTAAAAGGAAATCTTTTCTTCTCATATGCATCCAGTTGTGCTGTTGTCGAATGTCTTTGTGTATTTTTTATCACTCGACATAAATAATCGCGTTACATCCGTCCTCTTATCAACAGTATATCTTGGTGGTATTATCCCCACTTTAAAAAAACACAGTGGTCTTTGTAATTAAAGACAGTCGTGATCACTGTGTAATTTGCTGTTGACATATTATATATATATATATATATATATATATATATATATATATATATGGTTGTACAGCTTCGTAATAAATCCATTGAAAATATGTCAGGCCTTCCGAATGTATAGCTAAGTGTTCAATCACAAGCTCCATCGCGACGCCATTATAATGATTAGAAGTATTCAAATTAATGTACTAACTAGGAATTTCCGAAATAGTACAATTTACAGCAAGCAGAACTAGATGAACACGAATGAACATATTATACTTCGAAGTCGTAACCAGCGGGCAATAAAGTCCGAAGGAATCATAGTTCGTAAAAATAGCACGGTTCTCTATCGACTGGATCACACAGTACATTTGGTGATAGGGTTATGATGGCCCTTGCGGAAGTATGGTGAGAACACCATGTCTCAAACCAGACAAACCAACTGTCCATTAATATGTTAACCAGTCGTTGTCGAACATGTTATTCCACTGGGCAATAAGTCAAAGGGATCTTAGGTATGCAACCGTTGGTCCGGTTAGTAAAACGGGTATGAATCTTTGACGAGAGAGACATCAACCAGTTAGCTGGTGCTCTGACTAAGTGGACAACGGGTGCTCGTTAAAAGTGAATTCTAAGAACAATGTAGTATCGTTATCCGATTATTATTATGACTCACATGGCTGCACAACTAATGGGGTCTCTTTATCTAAATTTATTGGTCATAAAGATTTAGGAGCCATAGTAAGCACTGACGTCATCACAACGGGTAACTGTGAGACAGCTCTTGATTAAAGCTCCCGCATCTCGTTGGCAAGCTGAAGAATGAATAGATATGTTTTTGGAAAGCTGCGGCCCACGTACGTGAAGCAACGCTTGAAATATGGGGTGATTGCATTTCGTACCTATTTCTTACACCTAAAACTGAACATTTTAGGTAATATTTCCAGACATTTCAAAAACCATGCACAAATATGTTGATCCCATGGTCCCCGCTCCTTCACCTAGTTATAAATTAGGGGAATCGTATTCCAGAGTACGTAGCGTCAGTTCCTTCTGTTATTCGGGTTGTCAATACATTAAATCATGAGGATTATCGCAAACCACTTGAAATTCCAATTATAATACAAAAAGCTGATAAAAAGCATGGATTTTCGTCAGTTTATATGGGTATTTATAAGGGCGATTTTTTTTACAATTCTACGTATTTAACATTGAGGACTGAACGTCATATGTGAGGGTATTCTGTGTATATACGTCACTGATTGGATGGCGTTGTCTTCTGACAGTTACATCAAAAGTAAGCTTTGTTTTTCTTGATTTTTCCTTTTGATTTGTAAACACAAAGAATTATTCTCTAATCCCTAGTCATTTCTTTCAGAGGATGCCTTGTCATCTCTTGAAGACTTGTGTGTCAGATGCGTGTGCAAGAATTTAAATGTTTTAACGTATTTAAGTAGTGAAAACTGTGAAGTTAAACGAAAATGGAGATTCCCTTATCCAGGTTTTCGTCTGGTTGCCCGTCCTTCGCAAAAGATCTTGCTACAACTTTGCAAACGAAACGCCCTAGATGACGACCGGATGAGTCTTTTTAATGCTGACAGTGTCGACCTTATGTCTCCAGTTATAAAGGAAGCTAATGTCAGCCCATCATCCTTAAAAGTACTCAAGGAATTTCGTCTGTATAGCCTTTCTGCCATGAATCTAACCAAAGTGAATCTAAATACCATCATAAGTTGTCTTGGCGAGTGGACTGTTCAGAACCTAATGTGCCTCAATATATCCGGGACTTCTATTCTATGTGAAACTCATTTACCTATACTAGTTGCGCTCGGAAGGTTCAAGAATCTTAGCGTTCTTAATGCAAGTAGGACTGAACTAAATACCCAGTCTTTACAAATTATTGCTGATGACCTTTTAAATCTTCGTTATCTAAACATTTCCCGAACACGAGTAACAGATATTACTCCCCTACTAAATATACGCGATCGTCTTAATGGTTTGATCATGCATCGCTTGCAATTGGAAACGACGGAAGATATGGCAAAGTTGCTGTACACTGTAGTGGAACTCAACCAACTGCGCATACTTGATGTATCTGACAAACCGCGAAATACTGTTGGCAGATACGATGCTGTCGATAAATTTTGCTCGCCAGAGGTCTTGCCATTCTTAGAGCATATTGATTTATCAGGAAACCAATTTGGGCTGAAACTTAGTGATGCAAGGTACATCAATTTGTGACTTAGTTACTATTGTTTTTTAGAGCCTTTCTTGAGAGCCATCCTAGACTTACGTACGCTGGGTTTGCATCCTGGCTTTCAAGTCATGAAGATGAGTTGGAAGGAATATACAGACTTTCTCAACAGTATCCCCACATAACGGTAAGTTGAGTATGTCTACTTTTAACATTTTCTATCCATCTTTACATCATAACTATTGGGTTAATTCATTTTTGTATAGGTTGTTTGAATCTTTCCAATGATGTTTAGGGCTACAATTTATCAGTCTCTTATTGGCATGTGAGCTTCTTGTGCGGATTCCCTCGATATTACCTTAAATCACAAGTATTATAAGCAGAAATGAATAATGGCTAGCAGTGGAATCCAGGACGCGCGTTTCGCCTTATTTGAGTGAACAGCAACTCTGAGATGCAGGTATATCCAGCTGACGAGTTCCAAACAGGGCGGAACGCGCGTCCTGTATTACAATTCTAGCCACCATCCATCTTTTCTTATTTTAATTTTACGTTCTGATGTTTATGTTGATTCGAAAAATGGAGATACACGCCCTGCTACCTGACAAACCAGTTCTTATCTAGACAGAACTAGTAGGTAGGTGTACTCCGTGACTATAAACGAAAAATTGACTATAAGCCCCTGAATGCCCTGGTACGGCCGAGAGTGGGGAGTTATCTCTCCCTCTCTAAATGCTCTCATATGACCACGTGCGTACAACCACTGCTAAGGAAGTCCTACTCACTGCCTTCTCGCGACGGGTGTGTTGTTTATGAAATTGAGAGGATGAAAAGCGAATATCCGGGGCTTTAGCCGGATTGGTGAACACGGAGAGTATCTAGGGGAGTTGGAAAATCCTGATCCCAAACCACTGGCGCACATGGGCTCCAGGATCCTAAGAGAACAAATGGCGTAAGAACCAATCACTGGTCACCCGGGTACTACGGACTGCATTTGCTGACGTTGCTCCACTGCCTTGTGGATTAGACCTTTAGGTCAAAGGCTCCGGGTGTGATCCCTTAAGAAGACTGCCTGCTCCGGTTTGTGCACCCGGCTAGTATCCCAGCCTTCACACAAATCGAATGATTTGTGTGGCGCATAACTATTTGGTGCCTCCTTGTACGAATGTTTATGTGTTTAAATAAACAAATGCTTTTTTATTACGGATCAGAAATCCTGTTGACGATCTACAGTTGTTCAAAATCCAACCAACTAAGTACCATGTAATAGTTTATAAATATTTGATAAAACAATAAAATGTGAATAACTAGTCATCTTGACGTAGGTTGTGATTTATTTTATAGCTAGCTTATTATAAACCGTAAATAATTTTATATGAGGTTTGGCAAAATATGTTTTATAGTTGTGTAGTAATTGTCCCATATATGTGGAGACAATTACATTGATAAGTATTAATCATGTCTTAAGCCGGTTAACCAAACTGTTGAGATAAGCTCGAAGCGTCCTTTATTTCGTTTAAGGTTAACTTATGTTAGAAATCAAAAAATGTATCAACAGAAAGACAGGGAAGGATACGACGTTATCGTTTATTTTATGAGACTACAAAGAGTAATCAGTTCTTCACTATTTCTGGTCACCATCAGCAACCTAAATGTTTTGGTAAGTGCTAATGTCTGAAATCGCCTAACTGAATTTTATTCACCGAATGATGTCGAATACGATTTTAGTTATTGGATACAGATACTTATTAAAATATGAGAATATAGTCTCACCAGTTGTCAGTCGTACCCTAAATATATTAACCATATAATGTCTTAGACTGTAGTGCTAAGTTAAATCTGCTAGAAATCATGAGTTTTCCTAAAGCCTTAGATACATCCTGTTTACGTTTTACAGGACACGTGGGTCGATGATTTCTTATTGACTAGCTTAAAATGTGTAAAATACTTTTTAAATCATGGTTGCTTTTTACAAACTTGTTTGATTCACCAAACCATACTGTTCAGCAACTCATTGAATGGAATTATGGTTAATTGTAGATGTTGGGAGATAGAGGGGACCAACTTTTGTTAAATACTTTGACGCGTAATAAGGATAGAGCTTTCTATCTTCAACATGCTCTTCATAGTATTTTTGAAGCAACTAGCAATCGTGAATCCGTCAAACCAGATCTTCTGCAAGTAAGTATAAGATATTTGTGTGCTTATTATTTTCTGCAAAGGCAAATTTTTCATTTTTTCTAAGTGGGAAGTTTATTGAATATTTTATCTCGCAGCAGGGGTGTTGTTTACGAAATTGAGGGGACGAAGAGCGAATGACCGGCTCTTTAACCGGGTTGGTGGATACGGAACATCACCTAGGGGAGTTGGAAAACCCTGATTCTAAACCACTGGTGCATATGGGCTCCATGATCCTGAGGGAACAAAAGACGTATAAGCCTATCGTTGGCCACCGGTTACCATGGGACTACATATTCTTACGTTGTTCCACTGCCTTGTGGGTTAGACCTCTAAGTCAAAGGCTCCGGGTGTGACCTCCTAAGAAAACCACCTGCTTCGGTTCGGGCGCCTGGGCAGTATCCAGCCCTCATACAAATCGAATGATTTATGTGGTGCATATCTATTTGGTGCTTCCTTGTACTAATATTTACGTGTTTAAATAATAATAATAATAATATCAAGGTCGTCCTGATTATTTCAGCATAACCAACAAGTACAGTATGTTAAATGGAAATCGTAGTGTATTCGGCACTGTAGTGGTGTCTTCTGTTATATCATGAGATAGATGACCCCTCAATTATTATCCTATTAAAACTTGTCTTGTTAATCAACCAAAATTATGGGAGGAAGGAGGTTTAAGCTATCTGTCCACTACTTTTATGTATTGACACTACTCTGTGTTTCAAGGCCGTGATCTTCTAGCTTGGGCTTAAACAACTATGTCAACATTTCGAAATTAAAACACTCCTTGTAAGGTCATTTTGACCAGAACCATGTAGTTATTAATTGGACTCTGTTTATGCTCTTGTATCAACGAAACCATCAACATTAATCCAGTGTCTTTTTGAGTTCCCCAAGCAGAAATATCCGTTTATCAGACTAGTTGCTCTTCGATGGCTGATTATCCATTAGTAGCGTGCTTAAAAAGTAAATACTGGGGCTCCAACTTTGTTGATTTACGTTGATGGTAACTGGCCCATATCAAAGGAGAAGTAGGCATTTTGGATTGACTAATTATCTAGTATCAGTCAGTCAGCTACAACGTAGAACCAGGCACATATATGCATCGGTCCAAGTTGCTATACCGCATTAACACAGCAAGACGAACACCGGATTCATAGGAGAGGTTAATTCAGTGGTGGTAATATATAAAAGAAAGATTGCATATAAGGACGTAGTACAGGAAGAAGGAATTAGTTCGTAGATAGAAAGATATGAAGTGATTTTAATTTCTTAGTTTAAGGGAAGACATAGAGTGTATACACCTACGCCATTTTGATCGATTCTGAGCCATGTCACCCAGAGGCTCCAACCATTGGTTATGATAATCACACAGACCCCGACCAAGTAGTCTGCATCTACCAACATGGCCCAGACTAGAAGTTGTCTTCAAGCACTGATGCCACGTTTGGTTTGGTCGCCCCTAACTTTCTCCCAACTATCCCCAACACTGGTTAGCATTGCGCGTCGTGTTCAGGCATACGTAACACGTGAACTTCAGCTGGTGTCGGGGACCTACTTCAATGTTCCATTCACGCTGTCTGGGAATGGTGGGTAGTTGCAGAGTAACTGAAGGCCGGCTGAACTGCTCCTTAAAGTGTTCCACCCATCGTTCAAAATGTCTGGACTGTGAGAAGATAAGAGTGTCCTCTTCTTCCGAGATAGTCTCACTTACATTTGACTTATTAATTCCAGTTTCTTTTATTAGTCTGAAAAGTTATCTTGTTCTACCTACAACCGCTGCCTTTTTCATCTCTTTTGCTTTCGTTGCCCACCACTGCTCACGGTCGTTCCTTAGACTTTTGGTTAACCTAGACCTGATTTGTGTTTGCTGTTGTTCGTGTTCAGAGCATGATGGGATGAGTTTACGAGAATCCATCAGTGCAATAGATCTTGAAGAAATCCATTGGTTCTTTATAAGCCTTTGGTTCAAATCACTAACAGATGTCACTGCTGTTTCCACAGCTGCTTGTATATCTTTCCAAGCAATATCTGAGTCGGCCTCGTTTTCAGAACTACCTAAATGTGACCTCAGTTGTTCCTGGGACCTACTTTTGGTTTTCTCGTCACTCAATTCAGTTCTAATGGGTCTTTTTAGTGTTTTTTCTTTGCGTCCAGTGAGGTGCAAGCAAATGCATACTCGTATTAGAGCATGACCACAGTCTAAACATATATTCTAGAACAAGCAACAGTCTTCTACCGACCCTCTCCGACGATGACTGATGGCAATATGGTCTATTTGAGTCCATCGTTGGTTTGGTGTAGGGGGTCTCCATGTTAGACGATATCTCTCCTTATGCTTAAAATTTGTGTTTGCTAAAAATAAACGATTTTCTGAGCACAATTGCAGCAGACCATCACCATTATCTGTTCGCTGTGCCGGAATACTAAAATACCCATCTAAATACCTTTCTGTTTGGATTAGGCTACCTACTTGAGCATTAAAGTCACCTGCTACGAGTACTATGTCTGAACGCTTAGCTTACTGAAGAAGTTCAGAGAGCTTTCTGTAAAATTCATCTTTCACTTCATCCGATCTGCAGTCAGTTGGGGCGTAGGCATAAATGACGAAAAGGCAACGAGGTGTGTCTCTATCCTTCCGAATTCTTACAGAGCCGTTCAACCGAACAACATATAGACAACTGTCAACGGGAACCCATTCTAATAGTGTTTGTCCCACCCTCATGCTTAGTGCTATGCCTACACCTGCCAGTCCACGAGAACTGGTTATCGGGTCACCAGATACACGGGGGATGTATCTCGTCGGCTCTCCGTTTCGGCAAGGTGAGGTAAAGTGAATGACCACACTAGGATCTTGTATGTGTGTTTTGAAGACGTAGCATACATCAATGGTACGAGATTCCAGGGTTTTAGTCATGGAAGCCTGTTGACCGATTTGACATAATGTGCGTACGTTGAAGGCTCCAATGGGTAGTTTGGAGCGAGGTTTCAGTAGACCTGGGACAGTGTTTTGCGCACTAGAATCGTTGACTGTGGTGACACTTGAAAAGGAAGTCAAGTGCGGAAGTTTACAGTTGAAAGTCGATGTAAGAGGAATAATAGGAATAGAAGAGGGAGGTTGATTATGAATACAGTGGTCTTGAGTGCTGTTTGAAGTATGAGGGTGGTTATCACTTCCCGGTTGCCCACACCGTGGAAGGGTTCTTCTTCTGCAGGTACTTGAGAAGGAAATTGGGTTACATGTGATCTTAGTGACCTGAGAGCGTGACCGCAGTGCCCAAGGGACAACTGCGTGAGGTTGGTCACACATGACCTCTATGTGAGTAATTTCCGTGTTAGCTCCGTAATTGTTGAGACCTTACCGTCGGAGACGGATATCCGTGTGATAAAGCGATGTGTGCATTTCTAGGGTCGACCTTTTCTAACCCCACCCCTCCTTGTAGGATGGCAGCATCGCTGTCATGCTGGTTGTCTGAAGGAAACACCTTACTGCTGTCACAACTCTACAGTCAGCAGTACGACTTCGCCTTCGGACCTTGGGTTTGTTGCTTTTAGTCTTACCGCTCTTCAACCGACCTGTCTGACATGGTAGGACCTTGAGGGACGGTTGTTCCAGCCAGTATAGCTCGGTTGCTTCATCACGATAGGCAAGTTCGACCACCACATCAAGGTAGCAACAACGGTCATCCAAGATCACTAGTAACTCAGGAATTAGTTCGAATGGTTTTCACTTCTGATCATTTATTTTCCTAAGAAAAAGCAAAGCACCCTTGCGATGACCAAAGGGGAATCAGGTTGTCCTACTCACTGTACATTATCTTAACTTCCATCAGTATGTGACGCATAAGCGGAGCTTCGTTACACCAAACGAGATAAAACCATTCAAGTTTCGAGGATGATATGCCTATTCTTCGTTAGGTTCTGAAATATGGCAATATTCAACTGCGTCAGTCAGAGAATCTTGTCATAATGTCTGTAGTTGAAAATTGCATCAGAAAACATCCAACTAAACGTTCTTTACTTAAACAGTTATATCAGTGTGTGTGGTGGATTGTTACGTAATTTGTGCACGACAAGTGCTCGTTATCTGTTCAGTTTTGCCGTCGAGATAATAATTTGCCCTTCTGATTCTCTTAGGACTGTTCTACTGAAGACTCATAAATGTGAAGTACATAAACATACTTGTTCGAACGTACTGACGAAATCCTGAACACATTTTTGGACAAAGAAATGGTGTTTAGGATGCAACTTCAACTGCTGCTCATATCTGTTAGGTTCCGCTTTGTTTACATGTATACGCTGTTTTAGTGGTCAATGTTCCCGTGATTCTTTTCTGTGTCAACATGTTTTTGTTAAACTATATTTGCTGTACCGTAATTGAAATCCTATTTATGTTGACCAAAATTTCTCACCAGCCTTATTTCTCAAGAAAGATGCTTCACTATTAAAAGAGAAAGAACATTATTACCAAATTAAAAGTTCAGTCTTTTATTCTTTCCGAGAATCTATGTAAATCAACACTTAATATCATTATAAGTATGTATTTCAAGTTATAACTTTGTTTCATTGGTTAATTATTTGCTTACTTTCTCAATCTCAGTAATTTCTTCACATCTGTCAAGAGGATTAACTAATTATCTGTCTTAGATGTAGAGTTTTAGGCAAGGGGACCGAATGAGTTATTGTTATTGTTGGACATTTTTCAATATGTAGTTTTGATTGACACAAGTAGTCGGCAGAAAACTTCCACTTGGTCAAAACCGGATGTCACATTTGCCATGTACAAAGCTACTGACTTAACTTAGTCTTTTTGTTGTATAAAATGAGCTTTCTGACTGAGGTATGTGACAAGTAGAAACCAGTGGCTGAATTCAGTTGTTATAGGTGCAGTCATTATCTATTTAGCTTTATGTTACATACATTTTATTTTATACTCAAACCAGTGAACTGTTGTCCCAAATTTTAAATGGTTATATGTCCAACGTGTCGGTTTTTTTGTTGAGATATTTTTTTTGATATATTTTGCTTTTTGTTGTTAATATGACTTTATGAATGTTTTTATTCGCATGTTGGATATCCTTGTATTGTAGTATGGGTTTAAAAGTGACTAAATATTTTATTTACTTTTCAGGCTGTTTTGCGCGTAATGAGGCTACATTTACGCAGAATGGAAATGATATTGGCAGGAACTGCTGTCATTTACAACTTAACTCGGAGTGAACAAAGCAATCAGTTACCTATAGATCTACTAAATCGTGCAGTACGTATGACTTTAACGGCAATGGAAAAGTTCCCAGACAATAGACAGTTGCAAAAGAATTGCTTTTTAACATTATGCAGTGACACTGTACTTTATCGTGCTGTAAGTAAAGAAATATGTTCATCTGTCCTGCAGCGATTGTAGTTTTGCTGTTTTCCGAATTGATATGTAAGCTATTATATGTTGTTTTGGTTGGTTAGTTTTCAACTGAATTTAGCATGTTGACTAATTACTACATGCATAATGAAAAAAGATATCAGTGAGGAAATCTCGTAACAAGCTATTTGAGTCCCACTTTTTATCTACAGTTCTGGATGAGATTGATTTTATGTACATAAAATTGGTTTGTCTAACAACAAGCTCCTTGTATGATTCTTCTTGGTTACTTGAATACAATAGTTTTATACTTTTCCAGTATGAATTAACATTTTTAGTGTTGCCTTTTGACTGGACTTTTATACTGACTAAACTTGACAACTGAGTAGTCACAAGGTAATGATTGGTACGGTCATCTTGAAATTACTCATTAGCTAACAGTAATTTTGTAGTTCTTATCTCATAGGCTCGTGTCACACAATTTACTATTATATCTTGTAGTAAAACTTCGCAAATGGGTTCAAACTTTTGAACATAAATTTGCTAACCGTTCACTAAAAGAAAGTTTGTAGAAACCTTGATCTCATACATACGAACTCCGAAAACGACGCTTTGAAAACAATTAGTTTTTGAAAGCCTAAGTGAATTGCATAACCTCATAGATTCTGAACTCCAGGTACCGTTGGTGAACGTTTATATGTCACACAAATATGATTAAAATGCAAAAATATTGAAATGCTTCTAACCTGGAGATCCTTTGAAAAAAAAGTGACATGGCTCAAAATCGTTTGCAATGGCGCAGATGCATCCAATCTTTTTGTTCTCCCAAATTTTGATCTCCTTATTCCTCCTTGTCTCTTTTTTTTTCTCCTCTCAAATTTATTTCACTGTATTATACTCTTTAAGTAACATCTCCAAACACTAGTCTTTCCGATTACTGCTTATACTCTTATTACCTCTACCACTACGGGATTTGAATCGACCACTGCATCTCTATGCTAATGTGGTGTGGCAACTCGAACTGATGTACGTACGTACGAAGTTCTACGTTGTTACTGACTGACTGACTGACTGACTGACTGACTGACTGACTTGAAAAAAAAACATACTAGTACAGCTCGTTTCTTATTTTACCCATATTTTCTGCAAATACTCTTGTGGTTTAGTTATGACGGTCACCTATTACCGATAAAAGTTTAGAAGGGGCGGTATTAAACCGTGTAGACTATTAAACTTACCTTCATTCATCTACTTTGCCAAGTAAAATCTTTAGCTGTTTAACAAAATAACGAGTTCCGTTACCTATATAATCGTGTGAACTTTTCAAGACAATCATATTTCTTTTACGATTATTTCATTTCGACCAATAGGCTTATTGTACATTATTCCATTTGATGTTGTCGGATGTAAATTAATATGTCACATTAACCATCTAGCGGGACATACGATATATATATATATATATATATATATATATATATATATATTTGATGTAGATATGTTATATCTGTTTTTGTAGGGTAGTTACAGAATGAAATACTATTTTTTTATCGCCATACCAAGGAGCTTTATGATAGTAACCCACATTTCTCCTCTTGCTTCAGGCGAACATGCAGCTACTCTATTTGTATATAGGTTGCATTTGTAAATTTCTTTTTACTGTTATACTTAAATAAAAGTTACATGTATTTAATTGTATTCATTTTAGACCTTCAATTGTATACAATGTTGTGAACTGGTTTTTAACAACTTGCTGTCGTTTGATGATATTCATATGAAGCGTATGGGTGTAGCAATTATTTCTATACTAGCTGCAGAAGTAGGTTGTTTTTTGGATCAATATATAAGGTTTTTCATTGTTCCACTTCATATCCGACAGTGCCTTAATTGAATTCTGCTATATTTTTTAGTCATTTATTAAAGTTTAAATATATTTTCTTCTATTCGCCAATAAAAAGCTTCCTGACGTATTCAGTAGTCAGTATTTTATTGAAACAGCCACTGATAATATTGTTGAAATAGACAATGAAAGCTCCACAACTAAATCACCTAGCTCGGAGAATAACTCCACCAAAGCTATCCGAGTTGCGAATGCTTTCTTGTATTTCAGTAATCAGTTTTTTTATCTGATTTTTTTATCACAGATATAGTTTCCCATAACTCGTTTATACTGTGGCCAATTGTTTTTTACTGTCAGTGTTTTACATTGATTCGTTTCATTGTTATCAACTCTTCTAACTGAAGAAAAATGATATATCCACTAACTAATTTGCTAAGTCTATGTATATGCTTACTGTAAATGTTATCATCATTATAATTTCAGCATAAATTTTGTCATCAAAAATCATGTGGGAAGTGTTTTGTAGTTTGATGGAAATTTGATAACAATCACTATCTGTTCAACAATGGATTTATAATGTAGATCAGATTGTTTTCAAAGATATTTATGAATAATATAAAAAACTAATTTTCCAATCTCAATATTCCAAAAATTAAGCTGAAGTACTCAGCACATACAATTACTTGGGCACTGTTACTGTGAGGTACTTATCACTTATGGATCAAACTGCAAAATAGAATGCTGGTTTATCTATCACTGGATTAAATAATAATTTTATTTGGAAACAAATCTGTTTTTGATTAGTCGTTTACATCTAATATACCTAATTAACTGACTTATACGGTTGAGGTTCAACGAAACGAGCTTTTCTACTGCTAGCTGGTGTTAAAATATCATATTGACAATGCTGAAACATCTGTACGAAGATAAATGCTAACACAATCTGTCGTTGTTTCCTGGTAAACGATCACTGTGAAATCAGAAAAGGTACCAATTAATATTTGTTAATCAAAATGTTGATCTCGCTGCTTAGTTGTTTACGGGGAATCGCTTTCAAATTAAAGCAGTTAGTGCTTCCTTCTGATCGGGATGAAAATATCGACACACTGCACACCTAGCTGATGAGTACGAGGTAGGATGAAATGAAGTGGTTCTAATCTTGATCACTATCGATCGAACAATTTAACGTTTTTTCTTCTAATTAGATTTTACCTCCTAAAATAAAATAGTTAACTAGCTGGTAGAATACTTAATCGAAACACCGTGTAAAATTCACAGTGGTAGATGTATTGATTCTATAACTATCTTCAGTTTTCTTTGTTTAAGCCATCATCTATTTGTAGTATGTGAGAAATATGTTGTTGGCTATATCACAGTAGGTGAAGTAAGTGTGGATTTTTGTATTGATGACTCTTAATCAAGTGTTCAAACTATAGTTTCAGTTCAAGTAACCAAGATTGTTGAATTTTTGTTTAATTAAGTGGATGCTACTATGACAACTAGTTCATGTAAAAAATCTCTTTATTTATGATGCGGAAAACGTTTCTAGATTTCAACATCTGGTCTATCAGACTTGGCAAAAGACCCTAGGAGAATTGAATGTTTTCTGAGTTATGTTGCTGACAATGCCTCTTAGTGTCAGATGTCCCAGATCTTGGTTCAGCCTTACGAAGTTATATGCCACAGTTACGCCTACGCACTGAAGGAGCACCAATCTTTGATACTACATTAAGATTCACTTTATCCGCTTTATGGAATCTCACTGATGAATGTCCAGAAGCTTGCTTAAGATTTGTTCGTCAGGGTGGTCTAATCATATATGAAAAGGTCCTTAAAGTAAGTTAATATTCTTTTTATTTTATTTCCTATGGGTTATGATTTTATCTCAACAAGTAGTAGTCATAATTCGACTAGAGAAGTCTCAGAGGTTGTTGATGTAGCTTATTTGAATAAAAGTTTCCTTTTGAAATTAATTCCGCTACTTGACAATACTTTCGTGGTGAATTATGATTGTAGTAGTAGTTGCGCTGTATTTATTATTATTATTATTATTATTATTATCATTATTACTATTACTATTATTATTATTAGGCAATTATTATGAAAGCTTTTGAGTGACATCCGTACCTTACCAATGTGTGATGTTATTTTAAGAACTGGGTACAGACCTTATCCTACCTTGATGTTGATTGTTTTTATACTTTTTATTTGGTTTCTTTCATGTTTAGCATTGATTAGATTACAACTGGATCATTTAAATCTATCACAAAATACATTTGTCTATCTTACTGCACCCCTTTTACTTTCAAATATCTCCTTTAGGACAGTCAATGTTTAAGTATTGAATGTAGTGTCATTATATAATTTGCATAACACACCATAGACAATGTAATGTTCAAGAGTTGGACATCTAATCAAATACTTTCCGTGTCTACCTAAGACTTATGTTTTTCTAGAATGTCACAGTGTTCGTTAATCGGACACTGGTTCATTTAATTGATTTTGATGGAGGTGGATGATATATATATATATATATATATATATATATATATATATATATATATATATATATATATATATATATATATATATATATATACAACTGAGCCTATGGTAATCCTGTTTCGTGAGAATTGAAGTTATATTGTGATGTATGCTACTGATTTCAACAGATATAAGTTATATGTATCACCAATCGAAAGTGAAATGCACGGAGGCAGAAGGTTAAGAAGATCGATGAAAAGGGGACAAGAACAGAGAATGATTGGTGTGGAGAAGAAGAAACAACTAAGTCCGAGACGATTGACATTTTGCAAATGAATTATTTACTGTATGATTCTCAGATTTCACTAAGATGATCTGTAATTTTGTATTCAAATACATTCAATTGTCCTCACTACAATATACGTTTAATGCTTGATTTCGAATACAGTAATTGATAACGGTTCATCGACCAGTTAATTTCAAACTTTTTTTTGATGAATTTTAACGTTTAAATTTGTATTTATGAATAATTAACTGCAATATTCATATTTTTTCACCATAAACGTTTCACCTTTTGCATCATATAATTCATTCGTATTTGTGTTTTTGTATCGTTTTGTTCATCGCAGCGATTTGCTGACCAAAGTGAAGAGACTAAAAATCATGTCTATACCAAGTGTCTGGGTCTACTTGTAAGTTTTAGTTCTATTGATTATGCTGTCTGTTGTCTATTTCATCTAGTCAATATTGATAATTGTTCATAAGTCCCTGTTCTAGTTCAATTAGAAAACAGTTAATATAGTTCAAGTTATTTGGTCGGTTTGTATAACAGTATTTACTATTCAGCGGATGATTACTAAACAGTTGTTTCATTTTAATCTAAATAATTTGTTTGGATACCTCTTGGAATAGTAATAAAATGGAAATCTTACTCTTAAATTTATCTATCAGTTTCCAGTACTTCTGGAGGTGTGCTGGCGGTTATCGATTTCCAGTCGCCCGGAGCCTGAAAGAATACTTCATCTTGAGGTATTTGAAAAGGAGGCTAGATCAGTATTGGTCTTGGGGATCTGAGAGCGTGACTACAGAACTCAAGAAGCAACTACTTCAGCCTTTTCCCATGGTGTTTGTACAAGTATTTCTGGATATCCTGTTTCTGTACTTTAAAGGCCTTTTGGCCAGCGAAGGAAATTCATGGGTCGAGTCAAGGCGTTCTATTTGTAGGGTTGATTATTTCTAACCTTTTCCTTTGGTTGTGGGAAGGCAGCACCACTGTAAATGCTGATTTTCTGAGGACAACACCTTACTGCCATCAAACCCTAGTACAGTCAGCAATACGACTTCACCATCAAACATTAAGTTGGTAATTTTAGTTTTACTGCTCTCCAATCGGCCTGTTCGGGATTGAAGGACTTAAAAGAACAAGTATTCTAGCCAATATAGCCGGATTATATCTTAACAAAATGTAAATCCAACTACCACATCAAGGTAGCTGCCACAATCATTATATATATATCTATCTTGCTTAATATCAGGAAAATAAAACTACTTGTATCTCAGAAATCCCAGTAAAACCATCAGCTTAAACATGACTTTTTTTACGTTCATTCAGTCCTAAGATTGATCATGGTATTGTGTTTGTGTCTATCCTGCCAAACTAGGTTGGAGTGTTGATTGACTTTTCAGGAAAGAGAAAAGCTCGGGTAAAGATTTTCGAGACTACTTCACTCGAAGAAGCAAATAATACATCTTAAGCTGGCTAATTTACATTGTGCACAGTATTTTTGCAGTTAGGTGTCAGGATACAATCAAAAAACGATTCGTTAGTAGTTTATTTAGTTGCCTCTGTTATGTATTTCAAGGGAACTATACTTCGTAAAGCAAACGCACACGTAACTAGTTTGCTTCCGCGTAGCTGCTCTAGGGACGTCCCTACCCGAAAACTTTATAACAGCGGGAAAGCACAGAAATAATGTGTACACTAATTTAGGGTGTAGATAAATAACATCTCAAGTGTATGTTATATACATCTATAGGATATACAAGTCAAGGACTTACTCACTTCACAGTACGGAGATAGGTATAGATGTTTGAGATTGAAAGTGTCCGTTACATGTATACACAGAGTGCGTAGACATATACACTTCATAGTACACATAGCTATCGATACGATTTGGATTTGCTACATTAGTCTGAAGCCCAGTAGCAGTCGTAAATGAATGCAGTAAGTACCTGCAAATCATGAGATTAAAAGTCATCTATTGGCGATGTCCTTTACGCTCATACCAAAAGCAAGTTTAGTGTTGATCGCCGTACACTAGTCATGGCACAGTTTATAATCATCGCTCTGGTTTGCACGGGACCTTATGGATCTTTTTAGAGATAATAAAGTTAGGCACCACTAGGAATAATTTATTTATCCAGTTCTGCCCAATTCATAAATCCTTACCATAAGTCTTTCAGGTAGTCCATATTTACGACAGTGTGGGACCAGTTTGATCTTCAGGTTCAGCAGGGTGGAAAACACTGTTTATATCGTATACGTGTCATGACCTTGGAACGCATAAAGTTGAAAAACTAAGACATAACAACCAGTCAGATGATAGCAATGGTCATTGTGGAAATATGAGTTAAAAAATGTCGTTGAAATTATTCTTTAAAAAGGGAACTGATGTGTAATAAAAAGCTAGATAATCTGGGCTCTCCTTAACAGTAATAAAACAATAGAAACTTGAAATTAGTTATTCTTCAAGTGTAATATGAAATTGAACTAATGTCCATGGCTCTAAAATCCTGATTAATTTAGATGGAGTACTTAACCAATCTTTATTTTGGGATTGTTTTCAAGTGTTTTTTTATTTGTAGGATTTTAATGTTTTTACACATAAATAATTTTTATTTTTATTACATTTAGCAACTCATAACTTTTAATAAAAGTCCTCGTGCATTTTGTATTTTTCTTTTTTTTTTGTAGAATAATGTAGCAGAAGTCGAGCAAACACGTGAATCGTTATTAAAAGAAAGTCTAATGAACTTCTTTTTGTAAGTTTTAGCTTGTTTTGCATCAATATTTTATGTAGAATAATTTCATTTTATGAGTTGGAAAACCATCATGTAGACCCCATCCCTAACTTATATGTGTAAACTTTTGAAATGGACTTTCTTTTTGGGTTTTAGCCTTTTTACAAATCACACAGCTCGACAAAATAATGATGTGATCATAAATAATTGTTTTATGAGAGTTACAGCCACGATAATTATCTGATTTTATACTTTGAGTTATTCAAATTTATAAATGGGAAAATCGTATACAATCTAATTGAATTGATATTACATTTTAGTGTGTTCACAAGAATTAACAGAATATTTTATTGGGAAATCAGCAAATAATTATCGACTCACAAATTCTGTATTTACGATCTAGAAACTGGCAAATTAAGTTAGAATATATGGTGTAGAAAATGTGTGTCGTCAATATTACTTCAATCAAATTGTATTTGTATTATAATTAGATCATCAAAAGTGGAAATGAGATAGTCAAGTATATCATAGAATCGCTTTTGATTTTGAAGGCTATAATTGATTTCATAGCTTGTTCACATTTTGCGCAAATTCCACTGGAAGAGCTGGTAAGTAAATTAGGTTTATACACAACTGATTTGAAATCGGAATTTCCCAACTTCTGTGGGTAAATCTACTGTTTCGACTCACTTTCGATAAACCCCGAGTATCCACTTTCAACCTATCATTTCTAAAGAACAAAAATTGATTTTGATTTCACTGGAGTTTTCACCCTTAATATCACTATATTTTGAGATTAAGAGTTGACTTACACCCTTGAACGTTCGGAACAATATTTGAGTTGGGGTCGCAGAAAGGATCTTTATGTTAGCTTAATATCGATCAACACATGGTTGTTTCAGGAGTTTGAGACACTGTCAAACATGGCTTCACACTAAATCGGTGACGATATCTTTGTGTTTTCGTATTGTGTTATTTTGTAAGATTAAAGGTGATATTTATCTCAGTTGTGTTTTAGTCTGAACCATGTCCTTTAAATATATTGATCATTAATATAATCATATGGTTTTCTCTCTTATGTATTCACAACACCTATTTTGGCCTGAGATTATATACAATGTTTTCAGTGTTCACTAGATGTTTCGTATTCAGCACTTTCGGTCGTTTTCAGATTATTTGGTGAAGTGATAAAAAAAATTACATTACAATGCAAGATCGAACATATTTAAGTGTAATTTTGGTTAAAGACTTCATTTCAAACAAATTAATTATACACAGCCGTCTGATATGAGCATATTCCAATGGACCCCACCCCAACACAGTGGACGAGAAACATAAATATAATAAGAGTTAGGGCTTAAAATTAAATCCTTAGTAAAAAAATAATCTTCACTATCCTGCACTCACCTGTTAAATAGACGGAAAAATGACCAAAAGTGATAGGTAAAACACAACGAATATCTTGTTGTTTGTACTTCACTTCGCGATATCTCATTATATTAAGCTATCTTGAATTGAAAAAAAAAATGTTCTTGCATTGTTAATCATATCGCAGTAATTATAATTATATTTGACTTCTTAAAGCTTATTGATTCCTGTCAAAGAGAAGACATATGAAACTCTTCTTCTGTCAAATGATTCAAAGTTACTATTTGATTGTGCAGTCATGCTCTGGTACGGCCGAGAGTGGGGAGAGTCAGCTCTTCCTCTCGAGATGCTCTCAAATGGCCACGTACATACAACCACTCCCAGGAAAATCCTATTCACCTCGCGGCGGGTGTGTTGTTTACGAAATTAAGAGGATGAAAAGCGAATGTCCAGTGCTTTAACCGGAAAAGTGGGCACGGCTAGTTTACCTAAAGTAGTTGGAAAACTCTGATCCCAAACCACTGGTGCATATGGGCTCCAGGATCCTAAGAGAACAAATGGCGTAAGAACCAATCATTGGTCACTGGGTACTACGGACTGCATTTGCTGACGTTGCTCCACTGCCTTGTGGATTAGACCTTTAGGTCAAAGGCTCCGGGTGTGATCCCTTAAGAAGACTGCCTGCTCCGGTTTGTGCACCCGGCTAGTATCCCAGCCTTCACACAAATCGAATGATTTGTGTGGCGCATAACTATTTGGTGCCTCCTTGTACCAATGTTTATGTGTTTAAATAGATAAATATGTATTTTCAAGAACTTTCCACAAGAAAGTATTCATCACTTGAAGGAAACTTATAAACCCTGTCTTTTTTTCGAATAAACATTATCATGTTTTGCTATCATAGACATCCCTATGATGTTCTTATTATTACCGAGTTAAGGATGTTGAATTTTTAGTTAGCCAGTTTCAAAAGCGAAAGTCGTTCATTTCCTTTAAATGTCACATTTTTTATTTGGAACTATGATTATAATTCCCTTTGTTATTTCATCTACTAATTAATGTTTTTTAAATGAGATATATTTTTTAAATGCAGCAAAATGCTTAGACATCCTTGTATCCAGATAAGTTATTTTGCTGCTGGTATTATTGCGCATCTGTCATGTTTAAAAGATGAGATATGGTTGCGTAATATTCAGTCAAGTCGTGAGAGTTATGTGAAATTATTGGTAAGGTTGGTTGTTTTTTTTCGTTATTTTTCTTATTGTTTCCGTGTATAAGTGGGATTTATTACTGAAATTTAGAATGTTCTGTTTTCATCTTAATACAGAAAATAAAATTAATGTTAAATCATGATAATATACGCAGTAAAAGCCATTGTAACTTGTTTGTGTTTATAGATACTGGTGTATGGGTCGATCCAATTTGATGATTCAACTAATAGCGAGTAATTCAAGCAATTATAAAGAATGTTTGTTACTATGGTCTTTTGAGTATATAGAAAGGAAGATACTGCCCACAAGTTATTATTAGTTACATTTTTCTGTCATCAAACAGTAGTATTTATTTCCGCAGAAATTCCTCACTCAGTCAAACGCAACGTAGAGCCTGGTACATGTGTACATCGGTTCAAGTTCTCATACCCCAATAACACACGGAAATGGAATTGCTAAGGCACATTCCAGAGTAGTAGTGGATGAAAAGATTGGGCATGAAAGATAAGATTTGAGGAAACACAAGTTACTAAAATCAGAAAAATTATGAAGAATTGAGAAACTTAAAATGTGAAAGAAGAAAACGAGTAAATGCACCTGGTCTATTAGAAACGATTTCGAACCATATCACCCAAAGTCTCCAGCCACTGATAAGCTGAACTTGTTAACGAGACTCCGTTCCATTGCTAATGACTTTATGGACCTGTGCCATGTTTTGGTTTAGCCCTCCCCCCTTAGTTACGGAAAGTTTACATGTCTCTGTATGGTTTTAACTGAATCGTTGTAATTCTCACAGGCTTTTCCCTTCTTCTTTCTTAAGCAGTTGTTTTCCTCCATAAAAGATTATCATACGTATTTGTAGTGTACACATTACTTTTTTTCTGGAATTTAGTTCTAATTTATTTATTCCAGGGTCAAGCTGTTTGTAATTGGCAACCGCCACATTCTGAGATGGTCGCTTATCGCTCTTTTGAACCGTTTGGTCTGTTAGTTTTGCATCCAGAAAGTCGTTTAGAGATACATTTGTGGGCTGTTTGGGCTATACATCATATATTAACCAGAAAAGGTTTGTTTTGTTTTATTTTTTATTCGTAAATTTAAATTTATCTGACTTCATTTTAATTTCTTATGGATCAATATCTTAGTGTTTATAGCGAAATTAGCTCTCAGTCAGTAGGTTTTATGTTTAAAATCGCTGGACACTTTCAATTTGGACAGCCAGGTGCTAACATCAACACTCACAAACAAATAATTTAGCTCAAAAACGAGTAGATAAACCAGTAATTGGTAAATAACGTAAATGTGGCATCAGTTCACGAAGTCAATGATTTTTGGATTTAACCATATTAGTAGGTGCTGACTACGTGATTGAGGTCCGTGAGATCAGTGTTTGGAGATGGGTGGCATGAATGAGATTCATTCTCTCTGTCTTCTTTTAGATCCTGAGTTCCCAAATTATCTTGTACTTCTTTATTCTAGAATCCCACTTCCTATATCTAATCTTTCCTATTACAAATGATACTGTCAGTACTTCCACTTCTCCGGGATTTGCCTTAACAATTTCATCTCACCGTGCTGATGTGTGGAAGCTCGAACTGCTGAATATATGTATCAGTTTCTACGTTGTTTTTGAGAATACTGCAAAACCGTTCATTTTATATGTATATATATACACCACAGGATTGATTGGTTACAAGTTTTCATGATTTATCGAATTTTTGTGTCTTTTTCGCTACTCGAATGCATGTAATACATTTTTTCATAAATAAAACGGAATGCTCTACTAGATTTCAGTTCATTCGATTTTACTGATTTATTGTTAACAAAGGTTGAATAATTTTGTGGTACTAATAGCTATATTCTCCAATTAGTTTTTTTGCTTGTGTTTGGTCAATTCAAATATCAAATGTCTGTTCCACGGTTTTCTCTTTACGTTTGAATTTTTTTTTGTATATTTCGTCATCAAGTATATTACCAGTTTTGCTTTTGTTCCCCTTTCTTTTCTAGAAACGCGTTATGTACCGGTCTTATGTGAATGTCAACCACTGTTATCATTTCTAAGATTAGTTGTTTCTTTTGATGAAGGAGTTTTATGCGCTCATAATTTACAACGACAATTATCTGATCAAGAGCCGCGTAGTATAAATACTGATTTCCATGACAATGATAATGTCGAGAATAATAACAATTATTGTGTGAAAAACAGTGATCCGATGAAGTATTTAACTACTTCATCTAATGTTATACGTCCTCAACCTCCAAGTGTATATTCTCCTTCAACAGATTCTGATATTTTCTCAGAAGTACCTGCTTTATGTGAAGCAGCTGCCGGTGATTGTTTCACGTCAGAAAGTCAACAGACGCAGTCTTCAAGACAGTCGTCAACAGTTACACATGTTGAACCTGTAGGACAAAGTGCAGAAGGTGTTGCAGCATTTGTAGGACCTGATGAATCTCAACTTGCTTGTGCTAGACTTATCCGTAAAATGGCTTCAGAAATACTTGCGTCTGTTGATCGAACTTTACCAACATTACAGTCTACTTCTATTCATAATTATAACAATAACAGACATTGTGATCTGCCTGCATCTCATTGTTAGAAAAAAACGTAATATCATTTAGCGTTAGTAATCAGCTAACATCATTTTAATTTCCCACACTGAATTCGGTTTGACCATTATTATTGTGTCCATGATTATTTTGACACATCCACTAAATTATGTAACTAATCCATTGATCTACCATTGTATTTTCCACATGTTTAATTTTCAACATATTAATATTCATCATCACTGTTGAAGTTCAGTGCACATTGTTTACAATATGAACCAGTATATATATATATATATATATATATATATATATATATATATATATATATATATATAATAATCCATTAGTATTCATATCATAAGGGAAAAAAATAATCTATTTCACACCTTTATTGTCTTTCATGTAATTAAATTCACCCTATTTATGTCACGGAAAAATAGGACATTATCGTCTATTCAATTATAACAACACGTGATTATAACTGTTATTACATATTTACACATAAATAATAATTACTGTTAATTAGACTAGTATTGGTACCAATTTTGTTAATAATAATAGTACTTGTACACAGGTCTGTAGATTTATCTAAAACGAATTTTCTTATTGTCATGAGAAACTATTGTATTGTTCATATTCCATACATATTGTTTTGAATTACATTTGTAAATTTTGTTTGTTGTTGTTAGATAATGATAATTATTGCCTATTGTTATTATTCTTGTTCACTTTATCATTGTTGTTTCTTTTTCTCTCTTTGTAATATTTCCTCATTTTTTCGCACAAAATTTAATGTTTATTTTTCTTTAAATGAACTGTATTCTTAAGGCTTAATCTCTTTTTTTGTAATGATTTAAATTGCATTTAAAGGGAGTCTGTTTTAAATTGCTGTTTATTTTATAGCTATACAGATTGGTTGAATAAAATGTATGATTCACCTTGGTAGATTAATTGACCTATACACATATACGATGATATATGCTAATTTAAATGCGTATGTACATTGTTGAATGTATTCTAGATATTCTCTTGCATCGATATTGATTCTTTTTTCTTGTCCTTTGTGTATGCATGCTTATCTATTTTCATGTAACTGTGGTTTCTCAATGTCGATATAATTTCATTATTTATTATAATTGTTTTTGTGTTTAATTACTTCTTAATCAGTTTCTGATCGTATTTTAATCGAAAAAAACAAGGAAATTCCCTCGTTATAAATGTTGTGTATTCAATGATTGCAAATACAAACTAGCATACTTAGTCTGTGTGCGCTTGTTCATGATTGAACGTAAATTTAACTAAACAATCAAAAAAATATCTTTATATGGAACTATTTTGTTGATAATCTGGTATCTCACCATCCATCTTATTCAGTTGTTAATACTCTTAACTCTTTCTTGACTTGTTATTCTTTTTATGGTTGGTGTAAATGTTTTTAATGAAATAATCATGGTCGTATTTTTTTGACACGGAACTAGTATAATCATGCACACAATCGATGCATATATATATTTAATGATTGGTCGGTGACATATATTATTTTTTGACTGCTTAAGCTTCTCTTGTTTCTAGTGAATATCGAATATTGTTTACCAAATGAAGCAAGCCATTCCATTTTCATAGAAAGCAGGGAACATGATAACTTGTGGTATGTTCTTCCAGTGAATACAGATCTACTGTGCATTTGCTAGATTCATCAAAATTGTTATTTGTGAATGTGAAAAAGCAATCGTTTATGAGTATGATATCTTTACTATGGAGACAAGGAATATAATTGTGAAGAGGATAATATTTTGATGGGAGTTGTTCATGTTCGAAAAGTGGTTTCGTTCTCCATTTCAGCCGATATTATTCTTATGTTTCCAGTGATTATTGATCATCTACCTTTCAATTAACAGGCTAATACAATTAAGCTTGAATTGTAGTGATGTATCGAGTTCGAAGTGTAATGAATAATTGTAAAATCTTGATTCTGTTATCATAACTAAGAGATATAATGTGATATTTCTCGAACGGCGTTTAAGTCCTTCTAACTTTATTTTGTGCGTACATATCTTTGAGCTGTTTCTTTTCTCTTTAATTAGCCATTTGACCCTTAAAGCATTAGTTGGTGTTCTTGACAAAAATCTTCGTGAAATAGAAACAAATTTGCTGAAAAGAATTGATGATTGTTAGATGTGACAAGCATCGCTATTTGTTTTATATGAGGTTGTCAGTCACAGAAATGTATATTTCGCGTTCCTCGTATTATGAATTCAATATGATTTCGCATTCTTTGTGGTTGGATTAAGACGATTCATTTTCTTAACTAGATTCCCGTATATCTACCATGCTAATTTTTTCATGTTTTTGTATATGATTTGCATGTTGTGAATAAATTTAATATGTCCATATATATCAAAGTGTTTTTCTTTTCTCATCATTTGTTGATGTCAAACATGTCTGAAATTAAGTGATATTTGATTTCTAATTATTATTTTATATTCATCAGGTCAGTCATATTGGGACTTTAAAATCTACATAATAAAGGGTTTTATGGTAACTTTCCAATTGTTCAACTAGTGCTTTCTTCTGATAAATAACCTGTTTTACCCAGAAGTTTTCCTGTCTTAGAAAACGGACGTAATATTTTAGTTCTAACTCGTTTATTAGATAATTTCAGTTACTCTAGTACTTATTTCTGTTTATCAGAAGGGGTTTAGTGGAGATTTTAGTAATTTCAGTAGTTGAAATCATGAGTCAATTGAAGCTAGACCACCTGGAAGCACTGGACGGCCGTTTCGTCCTAGTATGTGACTTCTCAGCAGTGCGCATCCGCGATCCCGCCCCCGAGAGATTTCTGTTTAACGTAATTGTCGTGTCATCTATTAGTTGAATAATGCTAGTATAAATATAAACTACGTTGTGCGTCAACATTCGAAATTTACATACTAAGCAACACAAGAACTTTAGTAATGACGTTCTGGTTATAGTTGTGTCAATTTGTAAAGGAAGGTATAGTGGAAATCGATATGACGAACAAATTGTATCTGAGATATTTAAAGTAGCTGCATATTAGAGAGGACAAATAAGTGCATGGTACATCACTACGTAATATTTTTTTAATTAGGCTGAGATTTTGCGTTCTTTTTAACCGTCTTGCCAGATTCACAAGTAATTGCTATTTGGTATTATTCTTTTCCGCTCTTATTGATGTTTTCCCTAATTTCGAAAATGTTAGTCAGGTGGAACTTTCATAGGGGGGGGTAAGTGGGGGTGACATTTTTAAAATCATCCTGTTATACAACAGTGAATATGGTACAAGCGTCGCTGTATCCAGATACTTCAAGAAAGCAGGCTAGTACAATAAGAAAAACCTTTAGGTAAAGTTAACTAGATAGATGAAAGATTCAACAACACCAGGGATTGGAATGCATCCGCCTTACGGATCCTATTATTTCGTGTTGTAGATTTTAGGATTTAATTCAGCTTGAAAACTTAAACTCGATAGTCTGGTTTCGTAAATTGCTTTGGTTAACTATAATATTTTTCTGCCCTAAATTTGATTGATTTCTGTAGTGTAGCAAATCCGTGAGGGATCTAATCGTACTGTCTTGATAGTGTTGAGGGGTGCCATTTTAGATCTTAAGTTTTCTTAGTTTGTAATATTGACCTTTCATAATAATCGATTGTGCGTATGCTTTATTTTTAGTTGCTGATTCTTTCAATACTCTAGTTGTGATATGTCAACTTAGTCCGGTTTTAGAGATTGTGTAGATGTACGGAACTCACCACTTTCTCATATATCGCATCATAGTTTGGCATATATATATTCCGACCGTTGATGCTACCTTGACGTGCTGGTCGGGCTTGCCCATTATGATGAACCGATCCGGCTATACTGGTTGGAACATTCGTTCCTCAAGGTCCTACTATGTCAGGCAGATTTGTTGAAGAACGGCAAGACTAAAAGCAGCAAACTGAAGGTTTGGGGGGAAGTCGTGCTATGGACTGTACATAGGTGTGACGACAGTAAGGTGCTTCCTTCGGACAACCAGCATAACAGCGATGCTGCCTACCCACAAGGAAGGGTTGGGGTAGAAAAGGTGTACCCTAAAGATGCACACCTCGCTTTATATCACAGATTTCAGTCCCCGGCGGCAAGGTCTCAACAAGTACGGAGCTAACGCGGAAATTACTCACATAAGATGCGTGTGGTTTATTGGGTATCGGTGTACAGATCTAAACTAACGACGACTTGTTTTAGGCAGTATCGGATAACATTACTAACCATCGTAATGAGTGTAACTTTTAGCCTGTTTATATGAACTTATACGTGATCAATGCGTCATGCTTCTCTGGTGTTATAATAATAAGATGCTATGAATTAAGGTTGCTTACTAAAATTATTTACTGCTATTTCCTATATTTTGGAATATCAATATATATATACATTTAACATCATTTTGATTATGCAGTAAAACAAATATATTTCAACGTAATTCGCATATTTCTGATTAATATACAAAGACATTACTATTGAGGTTTTAATATGATATTAGATAAGTTATTTTTGAATTTTGTGCCAAAAAAAACGAAAGTTTCCTCTATTTTGATTGTGTTATTCCTTTGATTATAATTTTCTCGATATTTAGAAAATATGTGATGTGAATCATTATTCAAACTACTGAAATAATTTAAATTTTTAAGTAATCTAAGTAAAATACCTTATTAGAAACAAATAATCATTCAGTCAACAACAGGATGTTAAAAATATCCTTAGAGATATGGATATATTAGAATATACAGTGGAAGTTTTTATTGACTGAATACTTGTTTTAACGATTAAATAAATTAAATCTTTATTAATAATTTTTCTTAGTTTACTAGTTTGCATTTATTTATAATTACTATTTTTATAACTTGTCACTATTGATTGTACCACGAAATTATTAGTTATTCAGTGTTTCTAAGAATTAATACGTCAAATCTAACTTTTCTTTGTGAAAACTAGTAAAATAATTAACTTATGAACAGTTAATATAACAGTGGTTGGTGTAGGAGAAGA